TATTGAAACCAATAAAAACCAACTTCATTTTTCAACAGCAATAATGAGACAAACATATATGATTTTAATTGACTAACCGATAAAATTAAAGTCAATTTTTATTTTTTTATAACAATTATTGAGAAAATTATATAATTAATGGATACTGATACATACACCCTGCTCCATTACACATTTCGTTACACACTGACAGTCTCCATTACTTAATCCGTTACATACTAATTGTTCACAAAAAATGAGCTACAGTTCTAAGCACAGAATGAGAACTTACAAAACTCCAAATAAAAAACTGACCATTCAGAATATAGATTAATATCTCTTGAACATCCAGACAAAATTTTAGCTCAATCTAATTGTAAACTTTTGCAAATCAGACAAAATGACAAAGTTGTGGACAGTACCAAAACTGCAGAAAAATAGATCACCAAAAATAAGCTACTGTTTTGAGTACACAATTAAGACCTATAATGCTCCAAACAAAAAACTAACTGTTCAGAATGTAGATCAATGTCTCCTAAACATCCAGACAAAATTTCAACTCAATCCAACGGTGAAGTTTTATAGATCAAACAAAATGGCAAAGTTGTACATGGTACCAAAACTACAGGAAAACAGATTATCAAAAATGTGCTATTGTTTTAGGTATAAAATTAGAACCTACAAAGCTCCAAACAAAACACTGACCGTCCAAAATGTAGATTAATGTCTCTTGAACGGCCAGACAAAATTTCAACTCAATCCAACGGTGAACTTTTGTAGATCAGACAAAATAGCAAAGCTGCATAATACTAACACTGTAAAAATTTTCCTTGTTTTCTTTTCCCTTTTCTACTGCTTGGCTCTAGTCACATGCACTCCACTTTCTGCTATATCATCCAAAAAATAGACTTGTTGTATGTGTTTAAGTCCAGAATAGCAAGATGGAGAAACAAAAGGAGAGAGAGAGAGAAAGAAAAGGTTGGGTGCATTTGGGGAGTAACAAGGGAAATGTGTAATGGATTAAGTAACAAAGATCGTCAGTGTGTAATTGAATATGTAATGGAGCAGGATGTATGTATCATTTTCCTATAACTAATACATTTTTAACTTATATGTATGCCAAAAACTCATGAATTATTTCAAGCTATAATTATTTTATTTTTAAGGTGTGTTTGGTATGCAAATGAATTTATTTACAAATAAATTCTCAAATTTTAAAAATTTTAAGTGTGTTTTGTTTATATAAAAATATAATTCATTTCGTTTTAAAAATTAATTCACCAGAGAATTCATTTTGGTATTCATTTATCAATGAATTCTTATGCTTGGAATAATTCATGAAATTGAAGAATTCAATTCAATTTCAAAATGATTTTTATATTTAAATAAATGTAGAATGAATTTATTATTCAATTTTCAGAAAAAAAAACCCTTACTATTTGTGAAGGAGAGTGATATAGTTTTATAATTTGAGAGGCACTTTAGTAATTTAAGAGCTTGAGTTGAAGTTCATTTTTAAGTCCCATCAAATTAAATTGATGATAATTGAATTAGTCTTAATCCATGTTTTAAAAGTTTAGAATTGAATTCTACATGCTTTTTAATTAAAACAAACACAAGGAGTATGAAGTTGTAACTAAATTTCATAATATTTTAATTAAACCAAACACAGTAGAATATAATTGAAATCATTGAATTCAAAATGAAAAGTTTTTTAATCATACAAAACACATAAAAGTTGAATTAAAAATAAATTATATATATGTTTTTGTAAAATTCATTTATGCCAAATACACACTTAATTTTTTTTAAGGATACTTATATAATTGTGTAACAAAAAATGAGAGAACTAAAAAAGCTGAGAGAGTGGTAGAATAGTAGATGACCAACAATTTCATGCCTATTTGTTTTGGGTTCAGCGTTTTCGGATGTCTAATGTTTATGTTATTTTACTGTACACCACGTAACTTTGGATCGATTTTTGGCACCGACTCCCAATATCAGTATTATTGAGCTGGAGTTGCCTAATTTCAACCCCTAAGCTTCTTCTCCATTCCAAAGTCTCTTTCTCTTTCTCCACCTAGCATAAATGCTTTAAATATTTAATTTTCCCCTGCTAAATCTTCTTGTTTCCCTCTTCCAAAAAAAGAAAAAGGAAAGTGCTCCTGTTCAAAAGCATTTCCACTCAATTTACCATTTCAGAAGTACAGCGAAAGGAGTTGATGGATCAAATACTGATTTTGCATGCATCTTTTGTGGCAAACAAACTGAAACAGTCAGCCATTTGTTCTTCACCTGTGATGCAACCTGGGCAATTTGGCATGCAGCTTACGAGTGGTGGGGATTGCAGGCTGTCTTTACGTGTGAAGGCTGGAAGCATTTGCAGCAACACATGGGTATGGCGCAAAACAAGAAAGTGAAGGAAATTTGGTATGTGATATGGTTTACAATTATTTGGTCCATTTGGCTGTGGAGAAATCAACTAATTTTCAAAGAAGGTAAAGACACTCCAGCTATGGTGGTGGAATTAATTAAGCTGCGTTCACTTAATTGGATTAGAGCCAAGCACAATACAGATTTGGCTAAGGAATTGTGGCTTGTGAACCCCAGGGAAGCATGTAAATGAAAAGGATTTTTTACTATACTTGCACTGGGATTGAAGGGTAATATGTAAAATGATGTAAAGGGTGCAGTACCCCTTGTACTCATATTTTATTTCTAATAATATTCATTTTGCCGATCAAAAAAAAAAAGAAGTACAGCGAAAGGCAATGGTATATTTATTTACTTTATTTTATTTTTTTACTTCTATTTTTGTTTCTTTTGGTTAGCAATAGCACACATCACAGCTATGATAAATATTTTTTTAGCATTGTTGAGTTTGAGTTGCCTAACTTTACATTGTTTGCTTCTTCTCCATTCTAAATTCTTTTTAAGAGTTATTCATATTCTAATACAAATTATAAAATGGAGACTATTAAATAAGATAAGATTCTCAATATTAAAAACACAGTAATTGTTGTTTTATTGCCACAGTTTGTCCTTCTCTTTATATCTTTTTCAAGCTAGCATAAAACTTTTGTAATCTTTGGGATGCTTAATTTTACCATTCTAAAGCTTCTTATTCCTTTCAACTTAAAAAGAGAGAGAGAGAGAGAGAGAGAGAGAGAAAAAAGAAAAAGAAAAGGGGGACAGTCTTCTTTTTCAAAAGCAACTAAAAAAATTTTTCCTGG